AGAAGATACATAAGCAAAAATTTGTGCCTCTGAGACCTACACTATGAATAATTCACTTCATTACAAGGTCGCTGGACGATAAGTTGAAACGTATATGTCGGTGACTGGTTGCACATACCCTGAAGGATACATAACAGCTCGTTGAAGATGTATGTCAAATTAACATGTCTAATGTCTAAGTTCATGGTGTTATTTGATTTAGTTTCTTTGTTCACGAAGATTCCTATCCAAGAGACTGTTGATACAATATGTCAGCATTCCAACCCACTCTCTCGCTCTCAGTCCTGGAGTTCAGACGCTTACTATTAATGTATACTAAAGACGTTTAGTCTTAGTTTGATAATACTTTATACTGCTAAACCGATGGAACAGTAATGGGTAGCAGATATTTTTATAACCCTAGGAAGACAAACCCTTAACACGTAATCGAAGAAACGTATCATTCTAGATATGTCGACGATCCAGTTATCGTGTGCAACGACTTACGTCATGCATCCTACTTACTAGAACTTTTCAATAATGAACATGAAAACACTGAGTTCACCATGAAACATAAAAACAATGAAAAGTTAAACTTTCTAGGTATCGCCTTTTAAAATAGAAAAGATGATACTCTTCAAAGGTTCATTTGTCGAACTACAACTAAATTTCAACAGCTTTTATCTAGTCAGCTCTAAAGTAGTGCATTACTGGAAATACTATTTTATAGAGCTAGAAGGAAATGTTCAAGCAAAATTTGCTAAGCATTGAAAAAAATGTTGCAAAAGAAATGGTCATCCATAGAAATTTATCCAAAGGTCATGGTTTCGAAGAGAGAATCAACAGAAGGTCGAAAACCTGACTGAATAGAATGTAGCCTGTAACTGAGTTGATCCCCATCTACAGGACAACATACTTCAAGGTACAATCAAAAGTCGACATATTCCTTTTTTTGTTACTTCTAATTGTGTCTACATGCATCCGCAGTAACAGTTACATTGAGAAAACAGATACAAAGGGATATCTTGGATTCTTTGAACACGTAACAAAAAGCCTATGGTCTGACACGAACAAGTGCTTTCAGTAGTCCACTAACTCGATATCAAAACATGAAACAGAAGATTTCGGAGCAATGAATAAACAGCGTATTTCGAACCTTCTGAAATTCGTTGAGGCTGTGGCGATCAAGTGACTGAAACTAGAAATGTTTATTCAAAAAGAAGCAGCGACCATTCTTTCTTAATTCTGGTAAACTATTTTTTTACTTTTTCTCTTATTCTACATTTTTTTAATTTAGAGGTTTGCGGAGATCTATTTATTTATTTCAGGTTGGCATTCATCATAAACTGACATCAGATGGGGAAACAAAAACCTGGAAGCACTGGACAGTTATTTCATTCCAGTATAGGACTCCTCAGCAGTGCGCACTCATGACCCCGCCTATCAGGGATGGGACCCAGTACCTTCAGGTTCCATGGCCAGGACGTTACGATTGAGCCACTGGATCCAATGGTTCATATTTCCTGCTTCCTTCGGTTGACGATATAGCGCAACCTACATCCAGTGGCGTCGCTAAGGCCAGCCAAACTGAACATGAGGACAGTTACTCAACGACGGTATTGGGTGGAAGTCACGCTATATCGCGAACAGATGGAAGTAGGAAATATAGGCCATTTGATTCCAACCCAGTAGCTGAATGGAAACGTGCTGGTAGCGAAAACTGAGGGTTTAGGCTTCGACCTCTAGCAGGGTCATGGGTGCGTACTGTTGAAGAGTCCCACACTAGGACGAATCTGCTGCATAGTGCTCCCACTTTTCCAGCTGGTATTAGTCCGTGATAAATACCAACCTGACATCATCTTTTGACGGAAACTTTTTGTTTCTACAAAAATTTTGATGATCATTTAAACAAGTGAGTTCAACTCATTATCTTATCTACATAATTTGTCTCTTAATTACTACCAATTAATTGACGTATTAAACTTTCCACGTAATCTTTTGTTCTAAATACCGAAACATTTTGTTACTATTCCTATTATTTTTATTGAACTCTCCACTGGATTCAACAGATGTATAGCTGAAACTGCTTAGCATATCTTGTTAACTTTATTCGGATATTTGTTTTCCTTATTCTACCTTGTCTATTGCAATTATGACTCACTACATTTAACTGTAAATGGTGGAAAGCTTAAATTCTTTGATTGTGTAGTATTTAAATGTCTCAATTTGTAAGCGGTTGATGAGAAACCGACGAAATAAAATGATACAATATTAGTCTGCCACAATTGTTGTTCTTTCTTTATTCATGATTAATATTTGCCATATCGGTTTGTTCACAAGAATGTCTTCATACATAAACAATATTAAACTGGATACATTTAAATGGTAGGGAGGGTAAAAAACACATGAGATATAATATTATGAAAATTTCACAAACTCACTTCCCAATACGAGTAGCTGAAGTAACAGGGTTGTAATACAATAAAACAGATGTGATAATTACTTGGAAAAAAGTATTCACTGATAAAAATAGAACCTACTGTATAAACTTACATTAGTTGACACTGTCTGTGAGTCGATTATTTGTTGACGAAGTCGATTTTGTTCTTGTTCACTTTCAGATAAAAGTTGATACCATCTACTTTCTGCTTCTTTGACAGATTTTTCTAATTTTGATAGCACTTCTTCAGTTTGCTGTAAAGTTGACTGAACAGGAAACAGATAAAAATTACTGGATCGATCAGGTGTTCTGCATAGTAAGTACTACCTAAATTAGTGACTGGAATGCATTCTCCGTTACTTAACGATATTTCAATATGTGATTTAATACATGACATCATATTAATCTAGCGGTACATATATATATATATATATATATATATATATCAGCTCTTGGGGTGAATTTTTAACCGATGTATCACAGGTTCGGACCCAGCACCATCTATCAAGGTTTGGGCGGTCGGGTAGTGTCATCAGTTGTCATGCAATAGGTGTGGCTCTATCGCCCACCACACGAACATAGACACGGTTGCTGAGTGGATTTCGAATTTCTAACTGAATCAGACGCGAAAAAAAGGACATTCGCTTTCAGTTACTAAGTGTTGTAACAGAAAATGGCATAGTGTGTACAATCGACCTGCACAAATGAACCGCTCCAACCGAAACCATCATAATCTTCCTTCTTTTTCATATGACTATTTTCAAGTGACCTTTGGTTCTTAAGTGAACAATGAATGACTTATAATTTCACTTATTACTAGAAAATAACTTTCAAACGATATCAGTTCTAGTACTCTTCTTAACTCTTTCACCGATGAAAAAATCATAACACTAACACAATAAGCCCTTGATATCCAAATGATAGCAGACGCTCGTTTTAAATTTTTCTGCGTTGGAATGTTAGATATCAGAATGAAAAATAAGAAATCAGTTTGTCGTTCAGGAAATTAAATCACTATCCTTTTCAGTTTTCATAGGAGATCGCAATGTTGCCAGCAGTTTACATGTTGAAATATTCTAAGTTAACACTATTCGAGGACAAACTACAATAAGGGAAAAAACATTTATCTAAACGAGTTCAGTTTGGACTATTTAGATAAAATAGCCAATCCTTATTAAGACATAAAACAAAGAGTTCAGCAAACAAAGTCTCGTTATGCAACGTTTTCATTTCCAAAGGCTGTACACCCGTATTTACATATAAGCTGAGGTAGACAATAACAAATAAAACTCTGGTCTGTAGTCGGGTCTCGCAGCTGATTTGTTGGAACACCTAGCCGGAAACCTGGTGGTCACTGGTTCGAATCCCGCCATAGCCCGAATTTTCATTTCACTTTTAATCATCACCTAGTATCAATACCAAACCACAGTTATCTCACTCAGATAATGAAAATAACAAATTTGTTGATGTGAGTGTTGTATTTTTATAAGAAATGCACTAAGAGTGAGGATAATGCTTCATGAATCATCAAATCAATTGGAAAAATAAAGAAGACTAAAGGTCAAAGACGCAAGATAGGTGGCGAATGAGTGAATGAATATGATGTAAAATTCATTTAAGAAAAGAAATTTGGTTTGTTCCCTCTCATCATCATCATTATCAACATAGGACCAGGCATTACTGCCTCACGGTCCGAGTTGCCACACCTCATATCAGCACATCGAGTAAAAAGGTAGTGAGGCGAAGGATGAAGATAAGTGAATGCAGTCAAAAGAAATATAAAGTACGATAAGAAAGGAAAGTGGAGTGACAAAATGGTGAGATTCGGTATAGCGTTGTTAAGATGAGGATAATGTGTGTATACATCCGCGCCACTGACTTCGGTGATGACTTCACGCGTTTTAAATATCTGTGCAGAAGATAGTGTAAGGAATGAGCTAAAATTACTGAAATAAAACTTCACGGAAAACAGGTATCCATCACGTTTTATAGTGTAACAGTAGACAGATCAAAAATTATATTTAGACATGACAACCATGCCAAGAAAGCAGATTTGCGTCAATTTAGAGGTGACATAGCAGATGAAATATTTAAGAACCATCTAATAAGGTCAATCGGAAAAATATTCTATGCCGTGTCTCTAAGAGTTACACCTATTCCAGCCGCCTTTTGGACCATCTTAAAGTCAAAGAAATGTTACTTCTATTGTCCAATTCGATATGCACATACATGTTCACTAGGTTTTGTGGAGATATATTTTTCGTCGCGTTCGCGAGCACCTCCCAGTATGGCTGAGGAAAGGAGAACGCAGAGATATAAATTCATCAATCCTCCAGCATGCAGTTGACTATAACCATGCAGCTTCTGAATCATCATGTGACATTATTTACAAGCTTAAATCAAACTTATCGAAAGGTGCACGCATACACCTACTTAGTATCCCAGAAGCCATGGTGATGAATAACCAAAACTGTGTGCAGAAACAGTTTGTACGGTCCGTTTCACTACCTTGGACCTAACTTACCATTTTTGATATGTTCCATACATCTAGCTTTTCCCAATTTTTATTTTATTCTATTTTAATCTATTTTATCTTCTCATAACAATTTCACTTCATCGGATCCCTATCATATCATACTTCGTCTGACTGACACTCATATTAGTTGCTTTACCAAATCTTCACTCAGCTACTTTAAAGTGAAAATCGCACCTTAATTATTCACTCATTCGCCGCCTATTTTGCGTCCTTGACCCTTAGTCTCCTTTATTTTTCCAAATGATTTGGTGATTCGTGAAATCGATTTGACTACCTGACATAGCCGTAGTTTGGCAGAATTGTATTGTTGATACTGGGTGATAATTGAAGGTAGAATGACCACCGGTGGTCGCTGGTTAAAGATTTTCGTTTCGCCTTCAATCATCACCCTGTATCAACTGATGAAGTATCATCCTCATTCACACTAATGCACTTTACGACTCCACTTGTTGTAAAAATGAAACACACATACACAAACAAACAAACAAAATTGTTATTGTCTGCGCATGCCGTACCACCAACTACCTCGACGCCCCATGCTAAGAGAAGTTGGATTAGGTTGGAAGATGGTTCAAGGTAGCCAGATCAAGACATGGAACTAGTCAATGAAGTCTCTTACTGTTGGTCCGAGTCGTGTGGGGAGATGTAGACTACCTAGTTTGGGTCCCCGAAATGAAAGGAATCAGTTATTGAGAACTGTCTCTTGGTGAAATGGCTGAAACTTGGTCACAATGGAGTTGATGTATTCACTTCTTGACATCTTCTAAAGCTTGGATATTCTCACTAACCGTTATCTTCAAATTGTTTATTCTCTCACACAACTTAACCTACTTTGATATCAGTCTTTTTATCCACCTGTTTTTTGTGTACTACTGAGAAGTGTGGTTACTTGAGCTGATGCACCAGTGCACAAGGTTCTACTTTGATTTTGTCAACTAGTCATTTCAACCTACACATAAATATGCGTGTACAACTTGTGGAAATCCAATCGTTGCAAAGAGAAATTTTCTTCGCTGAAATGTTTGTTTTACTACTTAAATTGTAGTTAACAGAACTTTTTGTTTTTTTAATACAGCATAATATTTCGTCGGTGCTTAAATATAAGCGCCTTTCGTGAAGACCGAAAGAGTTTGTGAATTGAATACATGATCATGATAATTTGGTTGGCTGTGGCTAGCAGAAGAATTCAGGACGCGCGTTTCGTCCTATTTAGGACTCGTCAGCTGGCCGTACCTGCACTCCAGTGAGTGATGTTGTTCCCACTGAAACTCGAACCTCGTACTTATCGCTCCAAACGCCAAGGCGTTATCGACTATAACACGGAGGAACGATAGCCACTTCTTGTACAACGGGTAGCAGTTATTACTATTTATTGACATGTATGTATGTCAATAAATAGTAATGAATACATGATTGTTGTGGAATCCTAACGTGGATGTAACACGAGCAGATGATCACTGTTCATCTGACTTTAAACACCCTGTAAAAAGCGATTTTAAAATTTTCATTATTGAGACTATCTCAGGCAACCATGGGTCATAAAGTCTGGTGTTATTTATAGTGAGTGATGATTGAAAGTGAAATGAAAACCAGGTCTGCGGCAGGATTCAAATCATCGGTGAGTGTCCAGTTTACCAAGCGAAGTACAACATGCAGTCGACGACTAAGTCTTAACTTTAGTCTAAATTTTTACGCGAATACTTACCTTATAATAATCCATATCAGCAAGTGCAGCTTGATAAAGATTATAAAACTTTACTCGTTCTTTTTCAGCAGCTGCAAAGTTGCTTTCAACTTCGGATAAACGACTACGTAAATTCTTATAGGCTTCTGCATCTTCTTCACTGTCTTCCTTCTTTACGCATACTTCTTCCGTCTTAATATTCACAATGACTGGTTCACCATTCAATTCTGTATTGCTACTTATTGATTTGTTAGCAGACTCCAGCTGATATGTGAGTTCGTTGACTTTGTGTTGAGCACAGTTTAACTCACTTGTTACACGCATTAGATCGTTGGACAGATTAACAACTTGGGCTCTTAATTCACTAGACGCTGCTTCATTAGCTACTTTCGACTGATTAGCACTTTCTAACAGACGTTGCTGTTGGGCATTCAATTCCTACAATAATAATAGTAATAATTACAATGATAACAAAAATAATTACAACAACAGTAATAATAATCACAATAATAATAGTAATGACGATAATAATTACGATGATAATACTAATAATAACAACAATAATAATATACAAATTAGTGATGTGAATAAGATACCAGGAAATCGAACAAAATTCACCAAGAGTTTACAGAACATTTCACAGCGAATTCATGTCACTTACTGGATGTAAATTTCCGGACAAACTCTAAACTATGTCTACTACGTTACAGTGAGAAATACACTATTTGAACCTTCATATGCACGAGAGTATTCAATGAGTCTGATCTACTGGTTTACACGAATAGAAGATTAAAACTGCTTAGAGGTTTAAAGAGTCTACCATCACTATTGAAACACTGTAATAGGCACATTTAGGTTGACGGACAACTTGTATAGTATGTCAGAAATAATTACTAATGGCCATCCATCTCACGATAAGTGCTCAGGCTTTCAAATTTTTCCCAAAATAACAAGCAACTAAATAAAGCAACTTGCACTACAGACGGCCATTTTCCTTCAACATTGACTCTCAAATGAACATTGTCATCTTCATGACACCTGATTATTGAAAAATGACATCAGGCGGGGTTTAAACCTTCGGTTACGGGTGTGCTTGCTCGATGTCGAAACAGAAGCATACTTGCTGGAACCTCACACTCGTCACGTATCTTAGTATCTTATGCCAACAGAGATGTCCGAGAAACGTTCAGAAGTACCTATCAAGAGCTCGATATATAATGGCCGAGTATGCTGTTTCGGTATACGGCTGTAAGAACGTCCGATCAAAATGAACTACCCAGAATGATAATCAGCAGTTTATTGCAATTCTTTGGAGATGATGGTATCGTTAACCCACACATCGACTGAGGTAAGTAATATCCTAATACACTCTTTACCTCATGGTGTAATGGTGACTGCAGAAGGTTGGAAAAATACAAATGAGAGCAACAGTTTTCTGTCTGTTTCTTTTCTCTTGCCACACTTTCTATGACTTCCCCTATATGCCTCGATACTAAGTGTCACAACAACATGAACAACACATAATTATGTCTCTCCTCACGTTATTAATGTCTGATCAAGAAATGGTAGTAAGTAACTGAGCAGCTGACTGCAAAGTCAAAGTAGTATAGGCCTGGCAGATGAAGTCTACAGGATATTAGAAATCAGGGATGCAAAACCTCAATGTTACATGGTTCAAAATAGCCCGCAGTGGTTAAAATATATTATTTTCCCTTCAACTAGACCTTGAGTACATTATTACCAAATATCTGCATCTTATCAAACCCTCTTTTTGTTAAATCTGATACTTTCTTCCCTTTTTGTTATGTAATGTTAAGAATTATACAATTTTACATTGGGTCATCTGTATACAAACTCCAGTGTCTTAATCGCTTGATTTGACAACTGTTGTTCAACCAATGAATGGTACCATCATCTTAGTCACGAAGAAACAGTTTTGTCTGGAGGTCTGTGTCTTCTACAATGTAAAACTGACACTTTCAATTCATATAGGTTCAGTTCACCCTGAGAAAATAAAACTTTAAAAAGTACCCATAGATGTGTAGTATTACACGATCAAAACTTTCAGTGGGTCAAAATAATAAAATCCAACTTAGCTGCATGGACATAGACGAAAATTGACGTAGTCGCTATTTCTGACTACTAAATAATGATAACACCACCATACCTTCGAATAGCGATTACCATACAGCAAAACATTTGGTTTTTATTAGCTTGATCTATTGCTTACTTCAGCATTAACTGATATAGACGAGTAGAAACTCCTCAACGTCTTAATGGAGATGGAACAAAGTGGAAAGCCAATTTAGATAATAATCTTCTGATGGCTTTAAAATTTTTAGAATAAGGTAAAGAGATGCCTAAACTAGTTAAGTTAATCCAAGGGAAAAGTAAAGAATGAAAGGCCTTTAGTTTTATCAAAATCGTATCAATATGAAGGAAAAAATATGAGTAGTGTTTACAGAGAAAAAATACACGTATGGGGAAAAGTATTGCTGACATTTATAGTCGGGAAATGACCAAATGAGAAGGATATCTGCAAAAAAATAATGTCATTAATATAACCTGATAACCATCTAAATTGGTCGCACAAACTTGAGGCCATGTGCGCATATAAAAGAAAAAAAGTATACACAAAAGGTCTTTGTAAAATTAGTTATAAGGTAGAAATAATGCGGTTATTAATCAAAAGTAATTTAAGGCAAATGGGACTCCAGGAAAAGTCAGCCGTGAAAGTCTTTGTCGATACCGAGGTTTGAAAAAAATTATTATTGATTGTCCCAAGACCTCTTTTGCAGGATAAGCTATATTGGGTTCATATCGAGTCCTGGATAATCTGCTGACTGCATTCCTATTTCTCTAAAAGGAAACAACATACTGTTCACAGAAGGAAGACCTCCACCTCATTCCTTACTCTCACCAGTGTTCCCCAACGAACTCTCATTTACCCCTGTCTTTCCTCTTCCTTTCTCTATAACTCACTACCTTCAGCCAGTATCAATTTTATCACACATGCTCACGACCTGATAGTTTCCACACCTCTCTCCTCTTCAACAGGTTCTTCCCAAATGAATGATTGCCTATCTACAGTTGGAAGATCGTCCGTCGTCCGTCAATGGTCATATCCCAAATTCTTCCAAATGTCACACTAAACTTTAGTTTCAGATGTGAACATAACCTATGTAATCTGCTTACTTCTCATCTTTCTTGTTCCATTGTAATATTGTGCACTACAGAATGTTACAACTGGGATTTATCTCAGATTGCATTTCTCTTCTGACCTCTCCTAATCCTCCCATATCTTAGCAATTTCCAAAACAATCTCCCACCTAACTTTATACATTAGGAAGCTGAGTGTATCTCGAATAACTCAGCCTCTCATCTTGTGTTTCATAAACTCCTGCATCTTGCCTATTCTCCTCTACTCTTTCCCCGGTTGCTGAAAAAATACTATGCTATATTGCATAGCACCTTGAAGACTGTCAGCAGAGCTAGTCGTGTTCCTCTAAACCTTCGAATTGACACTGTTCTGGACAAACATACTAACTCATGTAAACATCTGACAGGAGTGATTTCATCAGATGACCAGCATCCTCCTCACTTAAAGCTCCGTCTATCTGTCGGTCATCTGGAAAGACAAACAGCAAGTACATTAAACTTTGTGCATATACTACAAAATATAAAATCTCTACAATACCATATTCACCTGGTATCCTGTACCAGGAAGAAAGTGTCAGAAATGAACTAACTAATCAACTTCTGTTTTTCAAAGCAAACTAATTAAAGTGTATATAATTTGTTATTATTTATGCATTATGAATCTAGTTGCTAATGTGATTGTCTACCTAAGTTAACTATCCATTTTCAAGAAAGTTGTAGATGGAGTGAATATTTTTATCTTTTATGTGTAGTTTATACTTAGTTGATTTTGCGATGTATACGTGTACATTGTTTCTGTCCAGTTGATACTACTGTATGACATGCTGCAAATTGTGTAGAGTATTCACGAAATATCATTTGAAATAAAGCCAGTATTATTATTATTATTATTATTATTATTATTATTATTATTAAAACGATACAGCCTTTTACGCAATGTACATCTGGTTTAAGTTGTTACTTTAGAGACAGAAAGTGTCAAAAAGAATGAGTAGAATTCGAACATATATTTTTTTCTAGTGGCTAACACGGCCGAGTAGATGACACTCTGGTTTTTGAAGTGATGCGTATTAGGCTCAAGTCTCAATGGGAAAACAATCACTCAGTGGCACATCCAGCTGACCAGTCCTCAAAGGAAGGGGATTTGAGTCCTGGATTCCACTGCTAGCCACCACCAACAAATCATAACAACGAACATCCAGACAATATCGAGGCATACGCATAAGAGTCTATATACCAACGAAAGTCAATGAATTCTACTTCATATAGCAACAGGAAATAACAAGTGTAAATCAACAACTCAACTGAGAGGCTGTGTGGCGCTGAGGCTGCTACATAAACCGACCCTCAGTTTCTTTTAACACTAATATTACTAAATGAACCCAAGAAACAACCAGATTCCTGTCCACGGTTTTAAGGGAAGGAAAGGCAATTTAGTTGAATGAAACTAGAGGTTTTACAACTGAACATTAAATAAGTTGAGGCAGACTAATTAATAAATACGCTGCAATACTACTAATATACAGCGGAGGTACAATCCAATTATAGTCAGTCTTGGCTTCTAGCCTATCGTCAGTCTTAACAGGCAAATTGTAGTCTGAAGACTTCTGATTTAATGTACGATTCATATCTGACAAAAACCGTAAAATATCGGCTTATTCTAACCAACTATTCACAGTGACCAACTTACGATGCAAAAGAAAATGAATGGATAATATATCAGAGAACTCCAGGAACTATGATGTAAACATATTCAAAATGGGCAAGTATGAAAAAATGCCTTAAATATTATGTCAATGACACTGATGACTTATGTATATATAGTCATGAGCGGATGTTAATGTTGAGCTCTAGGGTACACATGAAATTCAGATTTATAGCCTGGCATGATTTCAGTTTATCGACTTCCCACTCACATTTATAGTCCATCAATGACTAAATTTACTTGTTAGTGCACAATTATCAAATGCATTATAATAGTTTGTGAATGAATTAATAAACTATTGCGTAAGACAAATTAGTAATCAGCTTTCAGAAGACAGTATGATTAACTAGCATACTGCCTCACTCAAATATTTAGTATTTCAGCATAATTAAGTTTGATGAAACAAAGCATACACCCCCAGTGATTTGGCACTTCGGTAAGTTATTCATAGGAACAGGTCAGAATTTTGTGTGGTAAGTTTGCATTAAATGTCTTATGAGTGAAATTAACATGATACTTGACAGATGTAATGGAAATGCATGTTGGTTGTAAAAAAAAGTTCTTTTAAAAAGAGTCTAGAAAGAAAGAATACAATCATAGACAAAAAAATTCTTACAGCGAACTGATATTCAAGACTTCCGATAATTCCAGAGTGACGTTTCTCTTGCTGTAAACTACGAGATAGTTCAGCTCTCACCTCAGACAAGGAAATAGACAATTCCTGCAAAATACAGATAAAAAGAAAAGTTACTTCAACATTCATGTAGAAAATATATAATATTGATTGCACCATCCCTATGAAGTGTGTGTTTAGTTAGCAAAATTGAATTTACCGTCTACACCGCACAATATTGTGGCATTTCCAAGAAAGAATACAATATCTTCCTGATATACACATTTACTCATTCAAATCAAATGTAGCGACGGTATCATTCGCATCACTATACGATAGTAATTAATACCTGATCTATTCACCCTTAGTTCACTGTTTTATATGTGTATTGCAAAATCAGATGAGGACCTTGCGTACCAACCTATAAAACAAAAGTCAACTGATGTGAAACATCAAAGCTCAGATACTGACTGACTGACAAAATCAAAGTAGAACCTAGCACACAGGTATATCGGCTCAAATAACCACACTTCACAGTAGTACACAAAAAACAGGTGTATAGAAAAAGACTGATATCAAAGTAGATAAAGTTGAGTGAGAGATCAACAATTTGAAGATAACGGTTAGTGCAAATATTCGAGCTTTAGGTGTCAAGGAGTGAATATATCTGCACCATTGTGACCGAGTTTCAGCCACGTCAACAAGAGTCAGTCCTCAGCCACTGATTTCTATCGTCTTGTGGACCTCAGTCAGGTGGTCTACATCTACCTACACGCCTAAGGTTAATAGTCAGAAGTTTCATCAACTGGTTCTAGGTCTTGGTCCGACCACCCTGAACCCTCAAAGAACACCGGAAAAGTATAATCCTTATCCTCAGGCGCAAACTTTCTTCATCATCAGTAGGTAACTTTTTTAAATAAGCATTAGAGACTAGTTTTTCTGAATGACCAGTGTTTCTCATTATGCAAAACCTGCTTTCTGGGTTGGCTATATGATTTCCACAAAAGGAATTCATGGAAAGTTGAAACCACTTGCGGTACGCTATGGTCACCTTAAATCATATTTTATGAAAACGGTTCCAGTAAACTTTACGTGCATTTTAAGTCTGTTTTGATAACAGAACGATACGGAGCTTCAAAAATGCAATGAGGATTCAAAAGTTTATTGTCGATATAACCCAGCATGGGCCGGAGACGTCGAAAAGAGAATAGGCATATCTGGATGAAGGTAACTCGACAACCGTGTGTTTGCGGACTAGATGAAGAGATACATCTACTCTATGAGGGCTGGTGAGGCTGTCAGGTGGTTGAAAGCAACCAACAGGAAACTGTGGACTTAAGTTTCAGGCTTGTTAGAAACCATCACAACAAAGAGTATCCGCAAGCTCAGAGGGACTGTCTCCAGAGAGATTCAAACACGCATCAAAGAAGTTACCACTGGGTTACTAGAACTGCGACTGACTGACTGTGTCACATGGTCAGACCTGTGACCCACTTGTTGAAAGTTAAGTGCTTAACCTCATAGGCTACAGCTCCACTATGCATCTTTAGTTTGATATCCACGTGTGACATATTCATCTTGGTGGAATCCAAGATGTGCGTTTTGTTCTATTTAAGACTCACTCATCAGCTGGATGTACCTGCATCCCAGTGAGTGATGTTGTCTTCATCAAGCCTCGGACCCAGTACTCATCTCTTCAAACGCCAAAGCGTTATCCACTAAGCCACTGGGGCACGACAGCCACCACCTTTTGTGCAATGGGTATCAGTAGTTGTTTGTTAATATTTGTAATTTCTCGTTGCTATACAGAGCAGAATTGCTCGACCCCTCTTGTGTGTGTTTTCGCAATATGGTCATATTTATCTGTTGCATAAGCGCAATTGTGCTACTGCACATGAGTAGTAGAGAAAACAACTGCTTCACTTTAATTCTCTATTGGTATTTTGCCATTTCACATATTTTAAAATGTGATGTGTGTTTGCCGTTTTCTCCAAAGAGTGAGTTAATCAATAGCTGTTTTAGGTGACAACCATTAAAAATATATAAATAAACTATTATAACTCAACTAATGAAAAAAAGATGTTAAGATAATAAAAACAACTGACCTGATTTTTCTGTTTTTCTAATTCTAATTCACGGCAACGAAGATTTAGCTCCATACGTGTAGCATCATTTTCAGACTGTCTATCATAAAAAGAATAAAAAGAAGAACGCGATAAACAACAAAGCCTACGCCGTTAAAACCTATTATCACACAAACACACTCGTATATAATCTCTTATTATACATAAGTCAATAAATATACAGAAAAAAAAACATAACGCATGTACAAATTATAAAATACTTTTTTCAAATAATACTTTTTCTCGATGTATGTACATATAAGTATTCATTGACCTAAAGATGTAACATTAAAAGTGCACAAGAAACAACATGAAGGTGTACATAATTGCAAGGATATATACATACACGCACAGACGAATGCAGCATTTGATCACGATCTAACTTCTTCTGTCAACATTATTCACTTCATGTTTCAAAGAAAGGGTTATTTATTACGCAGAATGAAATAATCAGAACGTCAAAACCCGCTCTTCATTTTGGCCTAAAGAAAGATGTCTTCTATACAAAGGTGACTCTTATAGCGTAATCCTTAAGCGCAGAGTTAACGCTGCTGTTAGAAGGACTTGTTATACAGCTAGGCTCCAACTATAAGAAACCACCAAGCCTCTATACTCTCCTAAACCCTTAGAGCATGTGAACGGCAATGTCACATCCTATTGCATCAACCAATTCAAATGTACATGTGGTGAGGACTCATAGATCCATGCAAGTAAGGGCCTCGGAGTATATTCTAAAGTGGCTTCAGCAGCAAACTAAATCACCTGAACCCAAAAAAGTTGGTAGCAGAGGTTCAAGTTCCTCTATCACGAAACATATCGTTGAGACAGGTCACAGGATTGACGCGGCTACTTCCTTTAGACCTATTCACAAAACGTTTTGAGGACAGATCCTTAAATTTGTTGAGGCCTTAGATATTAGGAAGTTTGAACCACCTATGTGTGTTTAAAAACAATTTATCACAAAAGTTCGATGTACTATTATTTTCGCTCTATTGATTTTCATTCATTATTTAGCCTAAACTTCAGCTTTCCCACTTGACCTCTTTTCATATTCTCACCCCTTATCTCTCTTTCATATAAATACAAGTGCAAGTGTGTGATCAGATTGTTTGAAATGTGTTGCGCTAATACATTACACAGTTCAGACAATGTACATCCTATTGTTTATAAAGAGAACTAATTGTTTTAAAAAAGCTATTTAGGTGAAGTTTAAGAAAATCATTAGTGTCTTGCCGATAGGACTGTATAAATCAATCGCAATCATAAACACGTGTGTCATGATGGTAGAAACTAGGCTTGATATCATTCATGATTTATTAAGGAAAAACCGGTAACATTTATTTGCTTTCGGCTCATATTTGGTGTCATTCCAAACCTTCATCAAATTGTGTTTCTTTCATCATGTCACACATTCCACATACCCATGTATCTTCTTATTAGAAATAAATTCATAGTTGATGGTCCAGTTAGCGGAATTACAGAATCATTAATATAGTTTCAATTTCTACGAACCACTTTGAGTTTAGTGTGCTTTCAAATCTAAAACTGTGAAGCTGAAATAAGGTGCACTCTCCTTTCAATATCTCTTATTTTCATTAGTTGGAGAACAACTGGAAACCTAAGAGACTGGAAAGATGTTTTATCCTAGTATGGGACTAATGTTCATGAGTGACTTGCCTTGATGAGATTCGCGAAAATCTGATGAAAAGTCGTGACCGGTGGGTTTAACCAAATCGAATATGAGGACAGTTACTCAATGACACGCTTGGATGAAGGTTGCGCTATATCGTGAACTGGTGGAAGTAGGAAATGTGGACCATTGGATGCCTACTCACTGATTTAATGGCAACGTTCTGGATGGGGTCATAGGTGACCACTGCTGAGGAGTCCCACACTAATGTCTGTTCAGAGCTTCCAGGTTTACAATGATTCTCCAAGTGATGTTAGTCCGTGGTGAATATCAACCAGAAACCAATAAATAAATCCCCACAAACCTCTAAATTGAATTGCTCTCTAGTGTTCATTAGTGACTTGCTTCGAGATAAGATTACCGAAGTTATAGTGCGAAGTGACCAGTGTGGTGAACCAAGTCGAACATGAGGACAGTTACTCAACGACGGCACTGAAAATGTGAAAAGTACTATGGACATTATATATGCAACTTTTCACATTAATTCTACAGTTTAGTTAGCGTATATAACATTATAAGGATTTTAATTTGCTTGTTACTATCCAAACATAGCTTAAATAGTTAGTTACTTAAGTGGGAAATAAACGAAGACAATTAGGTGAGTTGACAAAATCAACCACTGAATAGTTGCAAAAAACATACTCTGCTTTTCGTTTGGCTCGCAGTTCTTCCAAAGCTGATTCTTTTTCTGTGTGCAATTTGTGATTTTCAGCACGGAAAACCTTCACCGTAATAAAAAGAAAATAAGTCAAATCAAAACAGTAACAAAAATATGACCAAAATAAGATCCTTTTTTAAACATCAAGCAGTACTAGCATCTGTGATCTTAATGAGTCAATGCGCTTCGCGATAAAAAGTATTAACAACTAATTTAGATTTGACTGGAAGAGCAAACTAAACTACAAATTCTTAAAATATTTTCTTGCTTTGAAAATTTGTGAAAATGCCTAAACTGCCGTCATCACCTTTAATATCAACAGAGGACCATTCATTACTGCACAACGGTTCAAGTTGCCACACTTCATCTCAGCACATCAAGCAACCAGAAAATAGGATGAAAATACGGAAATAGAGAAGAATCGGTCAAAAACAGTAGAAAGAAGTAAGAAAAAACGGAGGAGGAATGCGAAAATACTGAATTCAGTATGACGATTAAGATGACGATAATGTGTGGATACATATGCCATTGAGATTGATTATAAGAAATGTCACTTACAGTCTACAAACACTGGTTTTTGTTGTCACGCGGCTACAAACATAAAAGTCCATATTCCCCTACACGGCTAAAATCAACAGTCAAAGATTTCATGCAATCATGCCATGTTTTAGTGAAACCATCTCTAACCCTATCCCATCTCAAACTTACATTAGCTAATTCTGTACGATGACGTAGACGGTGGCCAGGTATCTGTAACACATGTCCAAGCCACATGAGCCGATTAAGATTCACAATCTCAACAGTTGACTGCCTTTTCCTTTCCAAAGACTACATCCGACTTCCGCGTTACTGACGTAGTGACACAACGACACACGGACTTTGCTACGAAGGCATTGGTGGTCAAACATCAAAAGCCTTCTTATATCCTCCACCTTTAATGGCCATGTTTCACATCAATACAGTAAACCATAGCAAACTATAGGGGGTACACTAGCCCCTTAGTCGACAATTGGATATTTCAGTGGTACCACAGATAGCGTAAGTTGGCGAAATCCAGTCGAGCCTTTTGTATTCGTGCAGAGATTTCGTCAGCCATTGGCCCACCGTGGCTGATCCGACTTCCCAGGTAAGTGAAGTGTTCAACGCACTCAAACACTTCACTCTCTATTGTTGGCCAGAGCACCGTTGAAGACCAGTTCTAGAGCAACAGTTTGCATTTGGGTTGCGAGGACCGCATCCCAAACATTCTAAAAGTTGCCACTCAATGCATCTTAAAAACTTTACATCCTGTCAACATTCTCAACCTAATAGGACTATGCCATCTTTATGTTCTAAATCTTCCAAGGATTCTCCTGTGACTAGATCAATTTCTTTGAATTCAGATAACGATAGGGAGACCTCTATAAGAACGTCTACGACAAAAGTGAGTGGGAATGGAGATTGGGCATCCTCGACGGACACCACTCGAGATACACAGCTCACCTGACAACTCGCCATTGGCTCTAACACGCCCATGGGTGTTCGAGTACGGAGCCCTCAACAGTGATGCATTTATTCCTCTTAGTGAGAGATACAGTCATAAGACCTCTCCATCAATGGAGTCGAATGCCGCATTCAGGCTGAGAAATACAGCCAGTGTCGTTCATCGGTATGTGTACCTGTGTTCCAGAACTTTGCAGAGTGTTAATATCTGGTTGATACATCCACAACGATATCTGAAAACTTCCTGGTTTTCTCGAGATCCACTCAACCATATGTTAATTTAATTATGGAACCTAGAATCTCAGACTATGTTCGCCATTCTGATTCCTCTGTGATTGTCACAAGAGAACTTCTCGCCTTTCTTGAAGACTGAGTCAATGAGTGATTGAGACCAGTCAGGTGTGATCATATCTGACCCACAAACACTAGTGACCACACTTCAGTTAACTTGATCATCAATTCCCTACCACCTTAAAATACCTCCAGTACAAGTCCATCTGACTCTGCTGTCCTTCCTCGCTGTTCCAGATTATTTACAGCTTTTTCGATTTCTGTCAATGTTAGGAGTCACATTTCAATATTCCATTCAAGATCCGACCGGATAGCGAGCAACGCAATAGTAGCTGGAGACCAGTTGAACTGTTCCTTGGGTACTCCACTCATCGTTCTAATCATCTCACCTGAAAGTCAATCAGACTCATCCTTCTCCACCACAGTATCACTAAACATTGACACTTCTGTCCCAGTTCCTTTGACAAGTCTAAAGAGCTGTCTACTGCTGCCTGTTCACACCGTCTTTTCCATCTTGACCATCACTTCCCACCACTGTTCGCGGTCATTGCGTAGACTTTTTGTCAGTCTACACTTGAGTTTCTTCAGCTCCTCAACGTGCTCTGAACCTGAAGTGATACCTTCGCGTGCATTCATTAGTTAAGAAGAAGCTGGTGAAGTCCACTGACCCTTCTAACCACTCTATGAGAGTCGGCTACGCTTTTTCTACATCAGACTGGAGATGGCTTCTTTCCAGTTTCTCACTGGAGGCAGACATAGTGCTCTCATTGTTGAGCTGCACTCGCAACGGTCTCGTTGATTCAGTTTTTCTATGTCCATTTTGGCACAGACAAACATGTGCTCGAAGCGACACATAGTTGCTGTCCAAACACGTGCTCCAGGGGGAGCAGCAGTCTTCCACCGACCCGTTGGCTGACGACAATGTGGTCTATCGATGTCCACCGCTGAGTTGAGCTATTTGGATGTCATGTCAGACAATGTCTCTCTTCGTGTTGACCAGAAATGAATGGTTGTCTAAACAAACAGTTTTGGAAGGTGATCACCATTATCGGTTCGTTCAGCTGTGATCCTGAAAGTGTCACCCAAGTGCCTTTCTGTCTGACTCACCCTACCCACTTGTGCATTGAAATCATCTGCTACAACCACCACGTGTGAACACTTCACTTTCAGTAGGAGGCTAGACAGTTTTCGATAGAACTCATCCTTTACTTCACTTGAACTGCAGTCAGTGTGTGTGTGTGTGTGTGTGTGTGTGTGTGTGTGTGTAAGTGGAGATTGCAAAGAGACAACAGCGAGTTTCACTATTCTTTTTAGTCCTCACTGTGCCGTTCAGTCGAACAGCGCATAGGTGACTGGAATCCAGTCGAGTAGAAAACCTTGTGCTCAATGTCGTGCCAACACCTGCAAGATTGAGAGAACTGTTCATCGAATCTGCAGAAACTTAAAGGGTGAATTTGTCGATTCACCATATTGACCGTGTGAGGGTAAGTGAATAACTGCATTTAGGTCCTCTATATGTGTTTCAGAAACACAGGACACACCCATAGTTCGCATTGCTGGAATATTTTTGCCAACGAAGCTTGTCCGCCGGTTTGATGTAGAGTGCAAACATTGAAAGCTCCAATGTGTAGTTTGGTGAGTGGTATCAGGAGGCCATAGATGCTATGAGTTCAGGTCGTTATCAAGAGCTGGAAAGCTCGAAGAAATAAATATGATGTAGGATTTATGATTGAGAACCATGAGATAAAATTAGAAAGTAAGGGTGTGGAAAGTGGATAGTGATGTGAGGGAACTTGAGTAGCGACATAGTTGTGAGTGTAGTTGACATTTCTCGGGGAGGGCTAGTTCTGCTTAAGGTGTGTGAAAGAGAAGAGCTAGTGCGTGACCATAGAGCTTAAGGGATATCTGCTTGAGGCCACTGAAATGGCGTTTTTGGAAGTTTGAGATTTTGGCTTGTTAGTTTTGAATTCAACTATTAACTCAGATAGCCGGCATTGGCATCTCGCGGGGAAGTGGGTAATGTTCTATCTTTAGGGTTGACCTTTATAAGCTCTCCTTCCTAAAGGGAAGGCAGTATCAGTATGTCATTGCTGGTCATCTTAAGGAAACAACTTACTGCTGTCACAGCTCCTCGAGCCAGTAGTGCAATTTCGCTGTCAGATACGATAACGGATACTATACTATAACAGTAATTGCTTTTTGTTTAATCACCATTCAATAGATGTTCCTTGTATGGTAGGACCTCAAGGAAGCAGGCTTTTCACTACCATAGCTCTTTGGATCATTGTAACATGCAAGTCCGACAACCATTTCAAGATAGTAGCTATCAACCGGGAGGAGCTCAACTACAGAATAATATGATAAAGATTTCACGAGAAATTTATCTCAAATAAAATAACCTACTAGGTTTTTCAATTATGTATAGTAATGATGGGCAGTGGCTAGCAGTGGAATCCAGGATGAGCATATGCCAACAGAGACTGATCAATTCGGTCCAGTCAACGACGGTGTAATACAAGCAATAACACTACTAGGTTTTTCTTGGTACGGAGTTTAAGACAAGGAAGGCAAGTCACTTTTATCTACAGTAAACGTACTGCTAGCAAAGAAATTTACGGAACTTAAATATTAACCTTTACACAGAAAAAAAGTATTTCTCCACACGTACAAACTATGATTATTCTTCATTTTCACTGTAGATTGGTTGGATCGGGAATGAGCTGTGCACCCCAAGCAACTATGTACCTGGATATGTGATGTTAGCCGAAGTAGGATTAGGTTGGGAAAAAGCTAACGGCGGCTAAACCAAAACGTACCACTTGTCTGTGAAGTCATTGATAACTTAGACTATTATCAAAGTTATATACGGAGGTTTAGGATGTCTGATCAAGGTTCTCGAGAAGTTAAGAATCAACAGTTGAAGAGCCTTTGTGAAATGATGAAAAATCAGGCACAATAACGCTGATGTATAAACTTTCTCATCGTTCTTCATCCATTTATTCTCTCCTCTCTCATGCACTTTTGACTGCTTTTGTGTCATTCACTTTCTATTCGTCTTTTCTTTGCATATTCCAATGAAGTGTGGCAAAATGAAGAAATGTCCGTCGAGTAAAAAAAACCTGTTTTCTTAAAATAATGCTGAAATCAACATCCATGAACGGATGTCTAAGAATTAGTCAATACGAAGTGTTTCATAACTCTAACCAGTTTCAGAACGAAACTCCTGATCAGAGAAGACTAGAATGAACCTATGTTCTAACAGTAGTACTACTATAATAATTACCCATAATCAATAAGGGAGAATACTGTATTAAGAGAATAGCTGTGCTTCGCATATTATGAATGTTATCGTAAACAATCCATACTACTTAAATTGGAAGTTACCTGTAAGTCTTGTTGTTGCCTCATGTTTGTTTGACGTAGTTGGCTTACTTCGGAATCAAGCTGTTCAATGCGTGATTTTAGCAAACAGTTATCTTTGGACATGGCCTTTAAATATAAAGAAACATCATATGTGAATATATGGTTAACTTGAACGTGATGAAATTTATTAAATTTAATAAAACATTGTTGTCTAACATATTTCCGCTTGGTGTTTCTTTTTTCGACTTTTATTGAAGCTGCACTTTAAACGATGTCCAAATGTTCACACACCCATAAAAAATTCAGAATTTGGGAGCACTTAAACAAAAAGAACAGACTTTTCCTCCGAAAAAAAAGTTTTATTACAAGAATGGTTTTCTTTTTTCGCTTTTAACTTCTACTGCATATTATTAAATTAAACCATGCAAGTGGAAGACAATGTAAATAATGGGCAAAACATGTACTATGCTGTAGAAGAGGTATCTATGAACCCTTGTTACAGATGGTATTTTTACTCTAGCCTCATATGGGGCGACCACACCCTTGTGCACTAAATATGTTTTCTAGTTAATTAAGATGCAAATGAACCATATTTATATTCTTATAATAAATTAGTATAATTTATCTGCTCTATGCATTACCAAGCGACAACAGTACACTAAACATGAAAACACTTATTTTCTGATACAAATTTAAAACACTGCTCATATGGTGATTCCACCATACATGAAGAACGCTACGAAAACACCTCTGTGGTCAAAACCTGTGACTTCTTCCTATCTCCCACTTCTAAGAAACGTATGCCAAACATACAGCATGTAAGTTAGTTGATGGGTTGTATGCATCCATTGACAGAAATAGCTAGGATGTGCTATGTGTATTTACTGTCTGTCCCAAGGCTCTACGTTAGCTGAAGAAGGGCTAGGTTAAGAAAAACATTTTCGTTGATCAGACTAAAACATGAACGACTATTGATTTGAGTGACGTAAGAAAGTATAGACTTCTAGGTTAGAGTCAGTATCACGACGGGAAACAGTTGAACTACAAGTAGTACGGCTCTAAAAAGACCGCAATGGTGCAGATTTATCCAAGCCTCACGCTCATCTTAACCATCACATTGCATTTAGTTGACTCCTTTAACCCCTCTTCATTTTCACACTTTTTTATGACTTTTGTTTCTAGTCTTGTAATTTTCTACGTTGCTTTCCTGGTGTAAGGTGCAGTAACTTGGACCGTTCCCCGGTAGTGCTAGGTATCATTTTGGTACGGGTTTGCTGACTGAGAACAGCAATTACGAAGAATCCACATTTCAGATGGGAATGTTTATCTAAGTGTGTGAACACAACATCCGATATAATAGTTGTGGTAAATTTATGAGAATAGAAGACACGAAGATCTTGACAAAAACAAACGATGACGAAACAGTAAATCATTACTAGACAAACTACACTAAAGAGCCAGATAATTAAGAAAATGAATGGTAAAATTTAGATAGGAGTAAAACTCGACTTCAAGTAAGCAATAGCATAGAAAATGCTTTATGCTTTGTTGATATTAAAACCAAAAGAAGCACACTGTTTCGCAGAGATCATTTGCTTTCAAGTGAAAATGCAGGCAATTTGAACCTAGCTGGTCGAAGTGAAACGAGTTAAGCATGAGATCTGGGTAAGCTACGAAAGAGATGCTTTAATACAATGAAATCTGTGGGATAGCTAATATGAAGGCAAGCAAACATCTGACGCCTCTTGGCTTCGATTGTTATCGATAACCTAAGTGACGTATCAGAAGTATTATACTAGCTCTGAAAGTTCTTGTCTTACATGAATTAAGAAACTGGCCATGACTCTGCCAACACTATGACTCAGGAGACTTGTCATAATTAACGAACCAAAATATCTCAGTAGTTCGGAAAGAATTAAAAAGTGACAGCAACTAAATCCATATCCAAACCGATTTCGGAATGAACTATTGGAAATTATGACTTATCGGTAATTATTCACTTAAAAGATGAGATATTATTCAGTTAATAATAGTGATGTGAAAATTCAGGGGAGTAAAACATTTATTATGTGCGTGAATCAGTTATCCACAAGACTGACAACTTGAACTGATGAAAGCAACCTTAAATAAAAAACACATAACTACGCTGATTGGTCTTGAATTCATATCTGCGACGATAAAACACATATCGACGAATTCACTTTAGAAATCCAGCAATCGATAACAAAGAATTAAACATTGCAGGTTAATATTCATCGTGGACTGATATCAGTTGAAGAACTATTGGAAACCTGGAGGCACTGAACAGATGTTTCGTCCCAGTATGGGACTTGGGAGTGCGCACCTATGAACCCGCTCGCCGAAGATCGAACCTAGAATCTTCAGGTTAACAGACCAGTACGCTACCACTGAACCACTAGGTTGGCACCCAATGCTCTAAAATTCCTACTTCCATCAGTTTATGATATACCGCGACCTACATCCAATGCCGTCGTTGAGCAAGTATTCTCACGTCCGACTTGATTGGCCCCATGACTTCTTATTGGAACTTTGGAAGTCTCATCTTGAAGCAAATTACCAATAAGCACTAGAGAAATTCAGTTTGAAGGTTTATAGGCATTTATTTTTTTATTTCACGCTAATATTCATCACGATCGTTGAAGTTGGTAAAGCTGCCCAGATTGCAAAAGAAATGAGAAGGTATAGCATAAAAGTGCTAGGCTAGGAATCTGCGAAAGCAGATGAAATGGAAGTGGACTCTCCAAACTGTCAACTGGAGAGTAGTCAATAATCTACTCCGATATTGTCACCCAAACGACAACCAAGAGCACACTGAGTTTTCGAGTGGCTATCATGATGTCCCCAACAGCATAGAAGGCTCTCATGCAGTGGGAGCCAATCTACTCCAGGATCAGGATCATGACAGCAGGATTCAACTCAAAAGGAAGGAAAGTCCCAACCATACAATGCTACGCTATGCACCTACAAATAATGCAGACCAAGAGAAGGGGGGATTCTATAGACAACTGCAACCAATAATAGATAAGACCCCAGATGGCGACATCAAAATTCTAATGGGTGACATGAATGTCGAACTGGGACCAGACACACAGGAAGAGGATTCATCATGGGTTGAGAGGCACTCAGTGAGATGAATGAGAATGCAGAACTCTTTGCAGACATTTGCGACTTTAATGACTTGGTGATTGGAGGCAGCGTGTACAAACAAAAAGATATTTATACCCAATATAAATACTAGCCTGTCAAACTACGGCTATCTCAGATAGTAAAATAATAAACAAAGATATTCTCAAACCGACATGGATTTCACCAGATGGACACACTAAAAATCAGATCGACTTCAACTCAATCTGAAGAAAGTGGAGGCGCAGCCTACTGGACACAAGATCAAGAAGAGTAGATGCAGGTTCACACCAATCTCTATCTAGTGCAAGGAGTCTACCTTCAAGACTAAGTTGAACGCCTTCAAAGAAGCTGGTGATAGACCACAGTTCAACACCCAGAACAGAAACTGAGGGACGAAACTATAAAGGACATCCCCACGTCAGTCATAAGGAAAAAATGGGAGACATTAAGCAATATCCCTGAAGAAACCTGTGTGGAAGGATACTGGAACTCTGTGAAAGTGACATGGAAGGAAACTTGCATAGCCATGTTAGGAAGGAAGAAGAAACAAGACAAGAAATGGATCTCCACGGATACATGGAAGCTGATAGAGAAGAGGAAGATGATGAAGCAGACGATGAACCAGTGCAATGATAAACAACGAAAAGACGAACTGAGTAAAACCTATAAAACACTGGAAAAAGAAGTGGAGAGTGCGCGCAAAGACAAAATACACCTTTACGACAGAGTGGCAAGTGAAAAAGAACAGGCTGTAGGTAGCAGAGACTTGACAACATGATATCAAATAATCAGGTTACTATCTGGGAAGAGGTCAACACAGATCAAACTAATGAAAGATAGTGAAGGGAACTTAGTCACCAAAGAGGAGAAACAAAGGAAACAATGGGCAGATCACTTTAAAATCTCTTGAATCGACCACCACCACTACCTGCAACTCGTCTAGAAACATCACCAGCAGCCCAGCCACAGAACTATCAGTGAACACAAACCCCCCCCCCCCCCCATAAGTCCTGAACGCCATAAAGCTACTGAAAGCCAGGAAAGCACCAGGACCAGATGAAATTCCTCCAGAAGCATTGAAAACAGAAGAAGAGACATCAGCGGACATGCTCATACCACTAATGCAGAAGGTTTGGAAGGAAGGAAAGGTACCTGCCGATAGGGAGAAGGGCTGCCTTGTCAAATTTTCAAAGGGTGACTTAAGTCTTTGCAAGAACTGGAGCGGAATCATGCTGCTGTCCACCCCAAGCAAAACACTAAGCCGTATTATCACGGAGAGACTAAAGGATGCGCTGGATTCAAAATTACGACCAGAACAGGCTGGCTGGCTCCAAGAAAAACTAATCACCTCCGGATCAAATTGCAGCGCTAAGCATCACCAGAGAACACAGCATAGAATGGAAGTCAACTCTCTACCTCAACAACTCTGAAATGGCCTTCGACAGCGCCGACCGAGAAGCAATTTGGCAACTCCTTCAACACTACGGTTTTAGTGCCACAAACCATCATCAACCTCATTTAACAGCAGCTATATGCTATATGATACTACATGCCAAGTGATTCACAATAAGAAGCTCAGTGATGCCTTTGAAGTGAAGACAGGAGCAGGAAAAATTTGCCCACTATCACCGATGATCTTGATTGTGGTCGACTTGACTGGACTGTATCATACAACAAACTGTGAGGAGCGAGAAGACGGGCATACGCTGTTTGACCGATGGAAAGACCCTAGGAGATTTGGATTTCGCCGATGATGATTTATGTCTAATATCACACAAAATCGAAGATCTACGGGCGAAAACTAACAAGTTGGCAGAAGAGGCGGCGAAAACGGGACTTCCTTCAGGTGGACGTAAAGACAGAGGTGATTAAGATAGCCAACCAACAACAACAACAAACACCAATCACCATCAACGGGAGAAATCTCAAAGAAATGGTCCCTTTCACCTGCCTAGGCAGCACAGATGATGTCAAAACCAGGATAGGAAAGACAACATGACAAGCCTTCATCAATCTGAAACCAGTGTGGAGATCTACTGCAATCAGCATTACGAACAAGATCCGGATTTTCAACACTAATGTCAGTCAAGTCAGTGATTCTATGTGATGGTTGAGAGACTTGGCGAGTCACGAAAAGCATTCCCAACAAACTACAGACATACAGCACATCGACAGTCACCATCTACGCTTGACACTGAAGATCAGATCAGGTTAGAAAGAATAAGCAACAAGGAACTCTGGCAACGAACCAACCAAGAACCTATCACGCAACAAATATGTAGAAGGAAGTGGAGATGGATTGGGCATGCATTAAGAAGACTGTTTGGAGGCATCACGAGCCAGGCCAAGACCTCGAGTGAAACTTAAATGGGAAACGACGAGTTAAGTGTCCGAAGGTGACATGGAGGAGATCGCGTGAGAAAGAAATGAAAGCTTCTGGGCAGTTGTGAAGCCAGGTTCAAAAGACTACAGAGAACAGAGTGGAATGGGGACGTGCTACTGAAGCCCTATGTTCCACTAGGAACCCAAAGGACAAATAATAAAATAATAAAAAATAGGTGTGCAAACTGAAAAGACTTCTTCATCCACCGAAGAAGTACGCCCAGGCAAAAAGAACTGATAATAACGGCCTGGACACGAGTCCCAAAAATATAAGCCTCGTCCACTTGCAGTGCCAATGTTGGATCAGTGAAGAGAACCATGAAGGATTTCGTGATTTTCAGAAGTCCATCTATGTATAGCAGCAATACTAGGGGGCTCAGAACTGCTCCTTGTAGCATGCGTGTTGAAAAAGGTAATAAAACTTGGTGAAAATTGTCTGATGAGACTGATGTTGTTTATCGAAGGAATTTGTTTGATTGACTTCCTTTTCGATCTCTTCGTTAGCGCCTTTTTAAGTATCCACACTTTGGTTCGCGACTTTCCGAAAGACAAATAATAATGATAATAATTCATCATGAACTGACATCAGGTGGGTAACTGATAGAAAGAAATGTGGATCACTAGATGCCGACCCAGCAGCTCAGTGGCAACCTAGTGGTTGCGGAACTTGGGTCCTGGGTTCGATCGCTGGGGGGCAGTTATGAGTGTGCAATGCTGTGCCCCATACTAAGACAAACCACCCCTCCAGTGCTGTCTGGTTTTTAGTGGTTCTCCAACTGATATCAGTCCGTGATGAATATCAACCTGAATCAATAAATAAGCCCTTGCAAACCTCCAAATTGAAATAAAAATTTTTTTAACACAATTCCCATGTCCGATCATTTTCAAGTGTCTGCTGACGTATATTTCTGATCGACAAATAAGCTTTTTATTTGGTGCAGAAGTATATATGAGACAAGGTAACCTCATCACTTGTCAATTATAAAAGATAATGTTCTCATCTGATAGCATACACCTCTTCTCAGTTACGTTAAGTTCGAAAAAAAACGAAATACACTGAGAAACCACGTGGATCTTCAAAAAGTATACGATGAACCACATTTATTATATGACGGCCTATGATATATCTGGCTGTCGAAACCTCGGCACATCAACCGGGGTTCAAACCCAAGACCCACTCGTTGGAAGTCAACTGCCTAAACCAGTAGGTCACAGCTTCAAGAGTTTAGATATTTTAAAACAGTACTGCCTCAAGTTTGAATAAACATCGTTGTCGCCTTATATGTGTACGACTTATGTAGAACACTAACCAACAAACAGAAATCACAACGAAACTAACAAGATCAAATTTATTTTAATATGATACTGTAAGTTGAAAAACCAAGAAAGGGTTGTTTGGTAGCACAACCACCAGTAGACAACCTCCATTTGAAAAAAGTACGAATTCTGGATTTCACTATCCGACTTAAAACTGCTTGTTCACAGAAATCTCTAATCAGGTGTGTAATTAATCTGGAAACATCACTTGACGCCTCATTGTATGTCAGCACTCAGAATAACCGTTTACTTCAGCTGTAATGAGCTTGGTCAGATTAACAAACAGTCATATTCTTCAAATCTGGAGAAAATAACAGTGAAGTGAAAAAGTGAGCTATCATCAAAGGATTTCATACGTACACATTCAAGAGCAGCTGAAAAATATTGATAATTAGTAATCATACAAGGTGATGGAGGAGAAATGAAAACCTGGGTCATGATATGATTTAAAGCAGCCGCTTCCAGACTATTGACCAATCTCTAACAACTGAGCTACAAAACTCAAATGCTGATCAGGTACTAAATTTCACAATCACCGAGAGTTTCACCCGACTGCCATGGGATGACGTGATGCGTAACTGTCGGCTCATTATGATCATTTTAATCCAAATAGAACTGAATCAGAGAGGGGGGCATCGTTTCGATTATCAATGGGACCTGGTCAGAAGGCAGGTCTCATAATCCAACTGAGAGAGCATTAGTCCAGTAACCCAGAGGTAACTAGTTCGGGTTCTATCGCTACCCAGGTTTCCACTTCAAACAGACAGACAGAGAGTATAAACGTAGAACCATGAACATAGGTCCATCGGTTCAAGTTGCCACACCACTTCGTCTACATTTATAACCATATTATTAGTAATGCTAGTCTGCTAAACCACGATCACCTTAGATATTCCCGTGAACAATAGTCGAACAGCGAAAATATTTAGGATTAAAACTCCTCACTATGAGTGTATCTAATATTCGAGTGAAATACACCTTAGGTATGATACCTAAAAGCTTTTTAACTACGATAAGGTTCACAGGAGCTTAGAAGTGAGTGTAAATACAAGTAAACAGTGTATTCCAATCGAAACAACTATTTTGTTTTCAGTCAATATTTTCAGATATTCTGACTCCCACTGCGCATTGTTAATAATCGTTACTTGCTTTTATTACTACTGTCACGGCATTCTGCGTCCTCGCTGAATCGTTGACATGTTTTTTTCGTGTTCTTTTTTTATTCCATTCTCCTGTCAGTTGAGAAGATTATCAGCGCCACACGCAAGTGAACAGATTTTGATATTCCAATGGGACAAATTATTTCTGCTTGCGATAAACAATGACTGGACGTTACAACAACTTCATAAGAAACATCAAGAACTCGCAACCGTTGCGCATCTATGAATCCCTGGATAGTGACTCAACTTTCATTTACAGGGTTACTGATCTAGGTCTTGCTCAAACTTCCAGCCTAGACAGCTATGTGGTATTACCTTCAATCGCTACACAACAGATTTGCTTCATTATTCAGTTCATTAATTACTAGCAGTTGCCAGTTCCAGTGGCTAAACATACAAAAACTCAGTAAACAAACAATTACTAGTTAAAGTTATCTTTCATAAAATAGTGACCTTAAATAAAGAATAGAAAAATCCATTAAAATCAGAAAATGCTTTTTACTTGTGCTAACTCCTGAGTACGAACAAGTTCTGGAATAGGACTAGTAGGCATCGATGGAGGAGATACAGCCATGGCTGCTGCCATCGCCGTCAGCTGAGCTTCTTTTTCCGTTAATTGCTCTCTCAATTTGCACAACTCTAATTCAGCATCGGCTTTTACTTTCAGAGCATCCGCATTTGCTTTATCTAACCGTTTGAGCAGATCACACTTCTCATTTTCAGTACTCTGAAAAGTATAAGAGGTATTTAAAACAGTAGTTGCGATTAGTAACAGAAACGATAACTAGGAGTGGCTTAAAATCATGGAACATGTATTGAACTAGTGAACGATTTAGTACAATAATTGTTTCATAAGCAAAAAGAATTTTTAAATAAGTACGTTTGAAAGATACGCTACATTGATCAAAAATATTACTTTGTCTCCTTCGGTCTATAACAAACAAGCTGTTTCCTTAAAGAAAAAATAATTTAGCGATCTGAAGAAACTTCAGACGTAACTAAAGTAACTGCATCGATTTAGTCAAACCCGAAGGCTTTAACCTTGAATTTGCAACAAAAGTAGATGGTCTTCTTTGATCAAAAAGTTGACTAGTTCCGTTTAATTTCTAGATGTTTTTTAATTGGTGGTTAGGGACTTCTCTGGATTGACTTGATTTAGTGAATAACGCATTCTAACAAACATCCACAAAACTGATTACGCTTTACTCGAGAGCGTAACTCATAACACCGTGCTAAAGAGTTAAAGCACTGAACATTCAGTGCCAAATGATAACCTCCAAAAAGTCATGTGTATTTATGACGTTAATTCAGCCAACCGAATTCCAAAGAATCCAGACCTCGAGGTGAAGGCAACCAGATAGTAGCATTAACGGACTCACAACATATGGTATGTTGTTATGCTTAACGGTTATCAAATAGGAAATGAACAAACACAGGACATGCATAATAACCTTCACTGGACCTAGTGCGATGGTACGGTCAAACACTCTAGCACTTTTCTTGACTGAACGGACCAGATCGATAGCTGGTACCTTGAGGTGGTGGTCAGACTTGCATACCATGATGACCCAACGAGCCATCCTGGTTAAACGCTTGTTTCCTCGAGGCCCTACCATACCAGAAAGGTCTGTTGGATAGTGGTTAGACAAAAAGCAGTTACTCTTATCCTTAACATGTTCTAAAATAAAGAAATGGCCTACACCAGTAACTAGTGGTTAATGGTGATCCAAAACTGCAGGACGTATATCCGACTCCATCTTGCATAATACAGACTAATTGTCGCAGCATCAAGAAAGTCGTACGTGGCCGGCCTCAAGATGTCCCCTGGGCTCTGCGGTCAGATACTAACCCTTCTTTTTAAGGTACCTCAAGAAGACCTAGCCTTCCACGGTGTGGGCAGCCGGGAAGTGTCAACTGCTCTCACAACTCTGTCAGAGTTCAAGCTCCCTCAGACCACTATCCACCTCCCTCATCCTTACTTTCCTATCTTCCTTCACGTTTCCCAGTTAACAACCCTACATCATATTTAATTTCTACCTCTGAAGCTTTCAACAGCGATCTCAGCTTACAGAACAGCATCACTGGTCTCCTTAAACCACACTCCGAACTACACATCGGGGCCATCGGTGTCCACGTCCTCTGTCAAATTGATTAACAAGCTTCACTAGCCAAAACTCTAGCAGCTCGGGCCATGAATGCGCGCTGAGTTTGTGAGATTCACATAGAGGACTCAAGTGCGGTTATTCACTTAACCTCTCCCGGTCAATATGGTGAATTCACAAAATTTACCCTCCGAATTTCTGCAGATTCAATGGCTGGTTCTCGTGGTCTTGCACTAGGGCAGAAAGTTCACTACTAGACTGGATCCCAGTTGACAGTCGCATATGCGCTGTCTGGTTGATAGGCATCGAGAATTAAAATGGATGCTGAAACTCACCGCCGTCTCTTTGTAATCTCTGATTACATACCTGCTGACTGCAGTTCAGGTGAAGAGTGAGTTCTACAGAAAACTGTCTAGCCTCCTTCTGAAAACCATACGTCCAGACGTGGTTGTTGTTACAAATGATTTCAATGCACAAGTGGGTAGGTTGAGTCAGGTAGAAAGGCAAGTGAGTGGCACTCAGAATCCTAGCCAAACTAACAAATAATGGTGATCGTCTACTATAACGGCACTCAGGTAACCATTCATTTCCAGCTAGCATAAACTTCAGACATAAAGAAAGACATTGTCTGACATGGCGTCCACCAAGCTCAACTCACCAATGGATATAGATAGACCATATTGCCATCAGCCATCGCTGGAGAGGGTCGGGGGATGACTTCGGTTCCTTCCGGAGCATGTGTCTGGACAGCGACTGGACGTTGGTTTGAGCGCATACATGTATGCGCCTCAACGGACGTAGAAAAACTTTAGCAACAAGACCCTTACGAGTGCAGCTTGACAACGAGAACTCTAAGGCCCCTTTCAGTGAGAAACTGGCTAGACAGTTATCGGAACAAAACACTATCACTCATCTAGACGAAGCTTGGTGCCATCTCTAGTCTGTTATAAAAGCAGCGTTGAAGACCATAACCGACTCTCAAACAGTGGTTAACAAGAGCCGGTGGATATTAGCAGCTTTTAAACTAGTGGATGCATGCGAACGCCTCCTTACAGGCGCTGAGTACAATGAGGGGAAGACGCAACTCAAATGTAGACCGACAAAAAGTCCACGGAGTGACCGTGAACAGTGACGGACAGCGAAGGCAAAAGAGATGGAAAAGGCAACTGCGATAGGTAATGGCAAACAGTTATTTAGATTTATTAAGGAAACTGGGACGAAAAGGTCAATAGTTGGTGAGACTATTGCAGAGAAGGACGGGTCTACAATTCACTCGCAGGCGAGACGACTGAGACGATTGGCAGAACACATCGAAGAACAGTTCAACTGGCCTTCGGCTATTATTGCGTTGCCTGCTACCCAGTTGAATCCTGAATGGAACATTGAGGTAGGCCCCACAACACTTGCAGAAGTCGAGAAAACGGTTGGTAACTCCAAACGAGGAAGGGCAGCAGGTTCAGATGGACTAGTTGCTGAGGTATCTAAGGACGGCGGTAGAGTGCTTTTAGTCAAGTTAACTGAAGTGTTAGCTAATGTACGGAAGTCAAATATGATCTCCTCTGACTGATCTTAATAACTCATTGTCTCAGTCTTCAAGCAAGGCAACAAGTCCTCTTGTGACAATCACAGAGGAATTAGCCTGGCGAGCATAGTCTGAGATTCTAGGTTCTGTAATCATTGGATACCTGAATGGAGCACGAGAACAGCAAACCCGAGAAAACCAGGCAAGCTTCAGACCTGGTAGTGGGTGGTTCAACCGCGCACACTCCGCCAGGTTCTGGGACATAGGCACGCTTACCGAGACCCGACAATAGCTGCATTTTTCGATCTAAAGGCGGTATCCGACTCCGTCACTCGAGAAGTCTTATGACAATGTCTCATTGGAAAGAGTACCGAGCAAGAAAATCACCTTATGGAAGGCTCTTTACTCGAATACCTGTGAGCGTGTTATGTGGTGAGATGACAAGTGAAGTGGTGTACGTCGAGTGGTGTCCGTCGAGTATACCCACTCTCCCCCATTCTTCCATTTTATCAAAGACGTTTTTATGGATGTCTCTCCCTCATCATCTCACCGCACGGGGATTGACTAAGTCACAGAATTTTTGGCAGACCTAGAATACGCAAATGATAGTCTTGTTGGGTGAAAACCCTGAAAACATGCAGTGTCTTCTAAACACTGATTGGCAACTTGGGATGCGTTTCTCGCAACCCAAATGCAAACTGTTGCTCTAGAACTGGTCTTCAACGGTGCTCTGGCCAACAATAGAGAGTGAAGTGTTTGAGTGCGTTGAACACTTCACTTACCTGGGAAGTCGGATCAGCCACGGTGGGCCAATGGCTGACGAAATCTCTGCACGAATACAAAAGGCTCGACTGGATTTCGCCAACTTACGCTATCTGTGGTACCACTGAAATATCCAATTGTCGACTAAGGGGCTAGTGTACCCCCTATAGTTTGCTATGGTTTACTGTATTGATGTGAAACATGGCCATTAAAGGTGGAGGATATAAGAAGGCTTTTGATGTTTGACCACCGCTGCCTTTGTAGCACACACCATCTTTGGTGCTGTCACTACGTAAGTAACGCAAAGTCAGGTGCAGAGTTTTAGGGTTGGGGGGTAAAACAGTCGATGAGGTTGTGAACCTTCATCGACTGAGATGGCTGAAACATATGTTACATATGTCTAGCTACCGTCTGCCCCATCGCACAATGTTGGTCAAAGTAGGTTCAGGCTGGAAAAAAGCTCGCGGCGGCCAGACTAAAACATGGCATCAATGCATGAAGTCCATGACTGTTCATTCGAAACATGTAAGGCGATGCAGACTAGCCAGCTGAGGTCCAGGGGATAAGATAAACCAGTGGTTGAAGACTCTAAGTGAAATGGGTCAGAACTGATCTCAGTAGCGCAGATGTATACGCACATCATCTGAACCGTTATACTTAATCACATCTTTTTATGACTCCTCCCTTGCTTCTTTTACTACTTTTTACCTCTTTTGACCGATTTTTCTTTTCTTCATCTTCCATTTTATTGCCTTGTTACTTGATGTGCTGATATGAGGTGTGTCAAATTGGACCATTACGCAGTAATGCCTGGTCTTATGTTGATTTTGAAGATGATGACTGAACTGACAACCCGGAGAGAGAAATCAAGATAGAACCGTCCACAAAGTTCATTAGTTTAAAGGGCTCTGAGAATCAAAAGTCCATTGCCAAAGAATGCATATTACGCTGTCTCCAAGGTCTTTCAGTCAAATTAAATTGAAACTAAATGTAAAGATACACTCCAGTATAACGTAGATATAAAAAAAGAAGAGCAATAAATCTACTAAAACTATAACAAGCACCCGTACCACTGGATAAAATTTTGAAGTTAATTATATAACTTACTTTTAATTTTCTATCCAGTAAATTCTTTTGATGCTCTATCGCTTTATTTGACCTTAAGAGTTCGGTATATTGCATTTGTAATACTTGTAAACCAAGAGAGGTTTCTTCTTCCTTCGCAAGAAAACGTTCATTTTCCTCAGCCAGAGAGTTTGCCAATTGAGAAGTTTCTCCCAATTTAGATTCGCTAACCTATGATATGGGAAAAATTAATAGTATTTTCACGTTATATCATATTACCGATTAAATATAAGCAGTCTGAAAAATCCTTAATGCATTTTTTGTATGCCAGAAACCTAATTATAAACGCAGATCATCTGAGGAAGAGACATTTTAAGAAGTTCAAAGCGTGTCTTGCACTGATGGTCTACCTCTAGAATTAGGTCCGCATTCACGACTTGACCAGTCACCAACCAATGAATCAAACGATGATTTATGACAACACAAATTATTATTATTACTATTATCATTAGGATACAAGATACTTATAACATGATTCTTCTGGTGCCAATACTTGGCTTCATAACCTTTAGATCTCTTTCGAAAACAAGCGTTAAAGGATAAACGGACAACTGATATTTCTCCAGGGAAATTTACGCAGCTAATATGCAATACTAGCTATGAGTTTGATCCATGAGTCTACTAAAACAATAAGATGAAACCACAATTTAAAAACATATTTGCTTTCTCAGTCGGTTTAACAGCTCATTACTTCATGTTTTACTTTCAGCAGTATGAAAAACTAGTCACCTTACGCCTGCAGAGATTCGTAATGCAGACTCACCTTCAGCTGTTTTTCTAATTCTTCAATTTTCGCATTTAATTCCAAAGTAGAAATAGAATTACATGGTTTATACTTTTCATCTGACTTATTTGGTTTGGAGCGGTTAATCTTTGTTGTTTCTCCAAGCGACTCCACAAGTCGGTTTTCAATGACTGGATCAACGGAAAACAAAGTTTCTTTATGTAAACCACTGGATCCCGTTGACCGTTTTGTTGAACGACGTTTCGATCTTTTTGATTTTACGAGAGGGGCTTGGAGCTCGTTTACTGCTGATGAAGATAAAGTTGGTGCTGTCGAATTACTTTCCGGAGAACTTCGAGAAATGATTGAGTCAGAATCATCACTTTGACTCTTGTCCACTACAGACTGGGAAGAAATTAAACGGGGACTACTGAAATAAGATTCTTCCATCTGATATGAAATGTTGTCAAGCTGACAGGCCATTTTAACAGAACCATGTTCTCCAGGTAGTGCTTGAAGTAGTCGTTCGACTGGTCTCTCACTACTGCTAGATGTGTGACTATCAGCTGGTAAGTCTGACAGGCGTTCATCCTCTTCCCCAGTGGTATCATCTGTTGTTTGGGTTCTGTCTGCTTCCAACTCGCCATTTTGTTGAGAATCAACTAGAATCTTGACCTTTTTGATTTTTTTCGACTTTTTTACTTCGTTCTTCTTCTTTCTTCGGATGTTTTCGGGATCTTGATTAACAGAAACACGTGGAGCAAACAGTGTGTTTCTGAACATGCAGTAAAGCACACCGGATACAACACAAACTATTATTGTTATGTAAAATCCTTGCAATGAATTCTCCAGATCCCACTCCATTTGAGTCCTAAGGATTATAAAAAAAGGCACCTCAACGGTTTAAGCACAGAATATGTACTTTTTAGATCAAACATAGAGAAATATTTCCAAGATAGCCTAGTAACAAGCTGCACAGACAAAATCTTCACACGAGACTTTGACAATATTCGCTGTTTCCTTTTTTTATCAATGGTCAACAGGAAGATAATACCCTATGCACTGGAGTAGAATAAATACCTTACAATTTACTGAAGTATTTATCGTGTAAAAACACTACACAGAACAGACTGAACACACAGGTGCCACTCCCTAAAATACCAGTCACAAATAGACAAGATTCTATTACCTATGAGTGACCGAGTGTTTTGGATTACTATCAAACATTAGGCGTTAGCTACAAGACACTGGATATCTGTTTTAGTTCCAACATCCAAAAAGTATTAAGTACCCCTAAAGCCTTTTGTAAAGGTCAACAGGGCAATAAAATCACTCTAAAACCCGATGATGCCACAACTTTACACCTGAGTTGGACATTTTAACCAAGACCAGTTAACATAATAGATACCGCAAACAGCATGCTGCAAAGCTACTGGGAAAGCAACACCAAGGAATCTATATACTGCGCCGAAATATAGCAACAGGTACAGTAGCTATTAATTAACGCGAAACGGAATAGAGAACCTTGTTGGAACTTCATGTGCAAACTGCATTTCTTTCGGCTCAGAAAAAATAACAGTACCACAAACTGTTTATTGCTGACTCCCGCAAGTTAGACAAGGTTTTAAGTAAAAGGAGTTATAACTGTGGTGCAGCATGAAAAAACGAATGACATGGCTTTTACACATAATTGTGTAAACGTTTAAACATCAGTTCTGTCTACAAATCCGAAACTCCCTATAACGTAGTTTTTCGTGTACCTATTCACAAAAAAAAATTTCTCTTGGTAACAGGTGCTTATCCCCAGCATTATAAATCTATGCGGCGAACGACATACAGCTTATTGCCAGACGAAAGTCACGAACCAAAGTGTGGATACTTAAAAAAGCGCTAAAGAAAAGATGAAAAAGGAAGTCAATCAAACAAATTCCTACGATAAACAATATCAGTCTCATCAGACAATTTCCATCAGGTTTTAACATCTTTTTCAACACGTGTGCTACAAGGAGCAGTTCTGAGCCCCCCTAGTATTGCTGCTGTACATAGATCCAATATTCATCGTGCGAGCGTAAAACAACTGATAGTTTCGATCTCTCACGTCTAGTTCTTAGGGCTTGGCTAGAGTTGTTCGGTTCGCTCCTTCAGTGAACGAGGAAATCCTCTCCGCTTTCTTGCTTTTAGCTTCGGTGAGGTGGATGTTTTGTGGGTTAGTAAGTTGTAATTTGTGGAGTGATTGGGGAACTACGGGTTGCTGAGAAGTTTAGGGAACTGACGTGACTCCTGTCCTAAAAAAGGATGGTTAGGTAGCGGTAAAAGAGTGAAGAAGAAAAAGGAAAACAAGGGAAGAGAAAGAAGGAAAAAGGGGAAGAAAAGGGGGTGAAGAGGAGAAACAAAAAGGAGAGAAGAGTATGTAGGAATTATCCGAACGATAGCTTGGGTTTGGTTCCTACAGAAGAATTAGTAGGTAATGTGGGTGCATTAAGAAGAGAGATAGTGAGTGGTAGGTAGGAGGGAGGTGAGGGTGGGCTAGTGAGGTTGGTGACTACCTGAGTACGTCCATGGTAGACCGCGCGATGTGACATAACTGTCTAATCGTCTCTTGAAAGAGTCGACTGAGGGAGCCATAACGATATGTCGCGGTAAGGCGTTCCATAAAGCACATACGCTCAGGAAGAAAAAATTGGACCTGAGTATGGTGTTGGCCCTCTGGTGTGCTATCTTAATGGGGTTTCTTCGTGAAGGCCGCTGAGTTGCAGGCAAAATTGATTTGTTTACGTGGTTTGCCTGATGGATGATCTTGTAGGCCTTGATAAGACCAGCCCTTTTCATGTGATAACCCAAGGTAAATAGGTCTGGGTGTTTAAGTCTTTCAGGGTGTCTTTCCCCCTAGCCCCACAACAGATTTTGTTGCGGTTCTTTGTATTCTTTCAAGGAGATTAGAGTCTCTCCTGAGTGTTGGAAGAGCCACCGTATTGAAGACCTCTAGGTGCGGCCGCACGTAGGATTTGAAAATGGTGAGGAAGAGTTCGGGAGTGAGGGCGCCAAGCTGTCTATGCAGAAACTGCCTAATCGCGTTCGCTCCGGTTGTCATACCTCTGTAGTTGGAGCTGGTGTTCAAGGTGTCGGAGAAGTTGAGCCCCAAATCTTTCACCATGGACACTCTGGTGATAGCACGGTTGCTCAACATGTACTGGAAGTCGGTCATACTTGCCTCTGGCAGATAGTTGAAAAACAAGAGAAACCGAATCGGTCCTGGGATTGCTCCTTGGGATACTCTTGACGTTGATGGTTTCCATTCCGACCTTATTCTGTTTACTTTGGTGCAGAACTACCTCCCTTCCAGGTACTCCCTGAACCAAGAGGGTAGAGGTTCACTTATACTAGCTGACATGATCTTGTGAAGCAGTACTGTGGGTGGGACACCGTCAAATGCTTTGGCTAGGCCGAAAGACAGTATGCACTGGTTCTCTGTTGTCCCAGCTTAGTGGCCAGTCATTCCAGGCGGTTAGTAAGTTCGTGGTACATATGCGATTGCTCCGAAATCCATGCTGAGTAGAATGCACTGTGTTTTCCTCATTGAGAAATTCCCAGATAGTGTCAGCTACCAGGCTTTCGAACACTTTTGACACAATAGGGAGTAGAGCAATTGGCCTGTAGCTGCCGGAGCTTTTTCTATCTCCTCCCTTGAAGATGAGCGATAAGATGGCTCTCTTCCATTCTTTAAGGAGTGCTTAAAGGGGTTGCAGAGCGGTTTTGAAGGCACCTCGGCGCGGGTTTTTAAGATGGCCGGTTTTAGGTTATCGCAGCCAGGGGACTTGTCTGGACATAGATGTTTTCTCTAACTTTTTTTCCTTGTGATTGAGATGTGGCAGGGGTATTCGTTATTTGTGACTTCGCCGGTGTCGTAACGAGTCGCTGTGGACTTAGTGTCGGTACCAAGTTGGGCTTGGAAGTGTGAGCTCAGAAGCTCGGCAACCCATAGACTGCTTAGTACACTCCCATCATGACCTGTGATAAGATTCATTCCCTTGCTGGCCGACTTCCTTCTCAACACGAAGCGGCACAAGTCATTGGGATTGCTTTGTAACCTCTCCGCCAAGTTTGTTTGATAGGAAGATCTGTCGCTACGCACTCTAATGTTACAGCGGTTGCGAATCCTTTTGTAGTTCAAAACGTCAGACTCCCTGCGCGATGAACGCTACCTGAACCAAGACTGCTTCTTGCTCTGGATAAGCCTGTTTGTCCCACGCTTTAACCATGAGCTTCTCGCTGACAGTCTATATGTTACCTCTGATACGCTGTGACTGGTGGCCCCAGCGATTATTTTCTCCACTTGTAACCAGTGTTCATCTACTGTGAGATGGGTCCAGTCTATCGGCCATGATGCATTCATGAGATAGTCCCTCACGGTCTCATGGTTGGCCTTGGCGTAGCAAGGGAAGGTGTTGGGCGTCTCCGGTTGCAGGGCCTCCTTAATAATCATGGAGGTTATTACCGCGTGGTCACTGGGGCCAAGGGGAGGTTGGATGCATACATCCTCAATGAGGAGTCCATCGTTCATCAGAACGTAGTCAAGGCGCGATGCATTTCCGTTAGGTCCCCAGCGTTTAGTATCACCCACTTTCTTTGAGAGGCCTGCAGTCTTAACTGAATTCTTCAGCTTCTGGTCGAAGGGTCTGATGTGTCTCTCTTCCGTCTTGAAGAGGATGGACGGGGTGTTGAAGTCGCCGGCAATGACTATGGAATCGCAATTCGCAGAGGAAGCCGTTAAGATTGCCTTGATGACCATTTCCTTATGTGTAGGGGGGCTGATGGGGGACCGATATGACTCCAAGCAGGCATTTGGTACGGTGGAGGGTGAAGTAGCACCATAGAGATTCTGGGAGCTGGGTTAAGGCCGTATCGCTAACCACCCTTGCCTTTAAACGGGAGTTTACGTAGAGAGCCACCCCCCTCCTGCTCTATGTTCCCTATCCCTGCGGAAGAGTTCCATGCCAGTAACGTGCATCTCTTCGTCGGAGATGTCCGACGAGAACCAGGATTCGGTGATGAATATGATGTCGGAGTGCTGATGTGCACGCAGCGTCCTCATTTCTGCTGCTTTCCCTCTTAGCCCCCCAACGTTGCTGTGCATACATATTAGGGTGTGCCTGGTGAGAGGGGAGGCCCGGGATGGGCGCTTACGTGGTTGGGTCTAGCGTCGCCAGTCCTCATAGGAATGGCATTGTTCGTTTTTTCGTGTTTTGTTGTTAACTTGGGTGGGGGCTGTTGCGGCGGGAGCTTCTTTACTCGATGTATCTGACCTGCTGGCCTGTGTGACAACCACTGACTCCAGAGGTCTTGGCGGTTGCCGTCTCTCCTCTTGCCTCGTGAGTCTAGGATTGCTTTCACACATACGTACCAGGCCACCCATGAGGTCTTTCGCATTATACCATGCGTGTAGAATGTCTGTGAGGGAGGCATATAAGTCGAATTGGATGGCGAGCAGTCTGAGAGTGGGAACGGACTTCAGACGCGCTGGCCTTGGCGGTCTACTGACGCTGTTGGCCGGAATACTAGTGAGACCAACTTTAGTTGAGGGCCACTGCCACTGTTGGACGTCGTGAAAGTACCGATCTATGGCCAAGCGGTCACTTGGCAATTCTGGAATCCCACGTACAACTGTAGTGTTGTTTCTGTCTGGATTTCCAACCACTGATTTTAATAATAATATTTTTTCCCGAATATACGGGCACACACCATTTTTACAGGTATGAATAAGTTTATATACAAATTACATTCATCTTCATGGAAGGTAGTCTAAATCCCTACCCGTTGTCACTATAAGATATAAGTGCTACATGTTCATTTAATGGAACATCCCAGCGGAATAAGCGTGCAGAAAATTTACAAGTTGGACAAGTGGAAGTACTGTCTTCGCATTAACAAAAAAACCAGGTTTGTATCTAGACAATACAGGTATTACCTGGAGAAAAATAAAGCTCGAAGCTAATGCTTCCATTGTAACAGCTTGTACTTTTTGCTTGAGATGATGATGAAAAGTTTATGAATTGTTTACATATTGTACTTCATTGACGATTCCAGGACTGCATAATTCATCCATGTTGATACCGTTCCACAACAAAGATTCATAATCTTGGTGAACACTATGACTGAAAGCCAAATGACTTCACTTCTCCAACTCCATCATCCAGGAGCAATAGACTTGTTTGAATGCGCCAGATGGACCTCCTCTCTTGTTGGCCATGGCTTGTCAGGCGTGGCCCGAATTCTGCAGGTATTAACAACGTCCCGTTGTCGCTAGGGAAGGAGGGTGTCTTCGGCCTCTCTGGCAGTGTTCAAGGACACATGTAAAGGGGTTGGCTTATTTCAGGGTGCACGGCTTCCTCGAGAAAGGTGACACAAAGTTGCAGAGGGGGAAGGAGTCCCAGCATCTGGCAGTAGTCGATCTACATCCGGCTGTCAAACCGTTCTCTCTCGATCAACAATGAACCTGTCGACATGTGGATGTCGAGCAAGGTGATCGAGTTAGCCCTCCTGTGACCTGGGTTCGTCGTGGGTGGCACGCCAGACTTCCCAATGTGTTTGAGTAATTCCACTGGTTGTTTCTCAGTCACGGCATGTGGGGTGTTTGGAGTGGGTTTCGTAGAGGATTCAGCGGTAGATATCTTTAGCCATGCGCTTGACGTTCCCTGAGGCCAGGTAGGACGTATGGAGACTTGACCTAATGTGGTAACCACGCGAGGTGGCGTGCCCGAAGCTGGAGTTCCAGGTCTGTTTCCAGGTCTCTCTGCGTTACCCTTTAGTGTCAACCCCACTCTATTCGGGGATACTGGTAGCTTTTCCTGGCGGAGAGCATCTCCTTTAGGCCTTCTGTGCGGAGTGCGGG